TTCTATGTTTTATTTCACTACACCAATATGACACGAATATATGATGATGTCGTATTTGTATAAATGTCACACATTTAATATGGTGAAATAGGAGAAGAAACCTAAAAGTGGAACAAGAGATTTGATCATCTTCCTAGTGGTCGGTCAACAGAACTGTTAAACGTAACGAATGGATCAACTCGCCTCGTCTAGTTAGGATCAAACTTAATTTGATTCATTTGATCGAATCGAATTGGTGAGGCTAGAAAAAAACCTCTATTATAATCTTTCTAAACTCTGACGCTAAAGCCGTTCTATAGTTTTTTTTTTCTAGAACTAGAAAGTTATCAGGTCTCGAACGTACTGACTTCTAAGTACTCGTCACTCTTTGCTTTGCCAAGTGGAGATTGAATTGACCCTAGAGAGCTGCTTATGCTAAAACCCAAGTACTGCTTTCCTTCATTTGCTCCTAAGGATCAAGTCCTTGCGAGCTTATAGCCTAGCCCGTACTAGGAAACCTATCATAAAAAAATGTCTCCATAAAAAAATAATATAATTATTTATAGTTCAACTCAAAAATAAAAATTTTATTTATTATTCTGTAGTTTGAATTATTATATTGATAAAGAGTAGAGCTAGAGCTCATTTATCCGTCTGTTTTGTTAGTAAGTGAAACACGACTTGGCTCAATAAAAGTTTAAGCTCGACACAACCATTTACAATTATATTAGACATTTGTTATTCATCTACACATACACATGTTTTCATATTCAAATATAGTTAAAATAATAAAGTATAATTTATAGTAGAGTATATTTTTGTGAAAAAAAAAAAATGGTTACCTAAGGTTACACGGTCTATTATAATTTTGTTTATAAAGAGTCAATGCCACGCAAATGCTAACTCATTAAATTAGTCAATTTTGAAGGAGTGCGTGACTTTATAAGTGATTCCCATCTTATAGATTGTCTTAAAAAATACAATTTATTAGTTAATCAATTGAGCTGGAATAATTTTTTAAATTTTAACATGAAATGAGATATAATGAGACAAAAGAAGCTTGTTAAATGTGAAGGTATCTATGTCGAATAGATAATGGTGGTAATGTAATGTTCAGAACATTTTCACCTAAACCCTCAACATGACAGTGGGCTGTTGGTCTCTTTGTAGTTGGACCCAATAGGAGGATAAGACCACAATCATGTAGAGTGGGCCCTTTTACTTACATTACTAGAGACGGGCCCAACCAAATTTATTGCTTTTACCATGTGGCATGTTCCATACACGTCGACTATTGCAATGAAAATACCTTTTTATGAATATATACCAAAAGTTTAATTATTAAACTTCTAGGATCGATATATTATATTAACGATAAAGACTCTAGAAGAAAAATCTCTTGGTACGTTGCTCATCTTTGTAGATTGACCGATGATGTTAAATCAGTGTATCCTCTTACAAATTACAATCAACTTTATAGTGAATGAAAAATTGAAAATCTACTTATAATAACAATTTAAATAATTGGACTCGTATTTAGATAAAAAATAAATAATATAAAATATATTAATGTAATAAAAGACGTACGGTATTTTTTAGAAAACTATTCAGGAATCTTTATAAGCAAAGTTCAATCATAGACTAAAAAAAGATTTGAAGTTGCATTGTCCGAATACTCGCAAGGGAATCAAACGACCTCATATTTATATTATAATTTTTTTTATTAAACGTGGGTATATTATTTGAAACTTTATAGTTTTATTGTCATTTGTAACACATATAAGTTTTTCGACATTTAAAATTTATAAGGATATTTCATCTTAACCAACATATTTCATACTAACAAGAAATGCATCACTCGAATATTTCCTATATTAAACAAATCTCAACTCCAGACCACAGTTTTTAAACCTCGCCCAGTAATCGACCCGGGCAGGTCCTCGGCTCACCAGGTCAATTGCTGAACCAGATAATTAATTTTAAAATTTTTAAAATTATATATAAAATATTTTTGTTATATAAATATACAAAAAGTAATAAAATTAAATGTTTTGTGTATAAAATTTGTACATTAAAGTGTTAATAATATGTATCTCATAATAAATATTTACCATATAAACATATATACATAATTTTATTTTTAAAAAATAAATAAAAATAAAAATATACATATGTACCGAGTCAATGCCCCGGGTCGGTCGGGTTTTGACCGATTTTGACCTGATCCTTTGTTGCCCGGTCCAAATACCCCACCCGGACCGGTTCCAACTCCGGGTCGACCGGGTTCCAAGTCGACCCGCCGGGCCGGTCCGAGTCACAAAACACTGCTCCATACTCCTCTTTCCAAGTCTTTCAAATATTTCCTATATCAAACAAATTTCCGAGAAAGTTGAGATCTTAAAATCTCACTCGAAATAAAAATTATTAAAAAATAAGAAAATATTTGTGGCAAATAAGGCTGCAAACGAACCGAGTGGTTTGCGAGCACTCAAGTCAAAGCTCGATTCGAGCTCAAGTTTGACCGAACTCGAGTCGAGCTCGAGCGGCTCGAGCACAAACTCGAGTCGAGCTCGAACCCATATTTTGCCTTGTCGAGCAGCTCGTCGAGCGGTTCGAGATACATGTAAAAAAACAATCCTGCTCGATAAAGCCAATGCTCAACTCGACTCGGCTCGTTTGCAGCCCTAGTGGCAAAACACAACGAGCAACATACTAAGTGCTTGTCAAAGCTGTTCGGATTTATTTCATTATTAAATGACAATAATGGTTGCACAACTTCCATAAATACCACTTATTTTCTATGTAACTGAGCTGAAACTGGTCTGGAACCCAAAATACAATAAAGTCGAATAAAATAATTAATGATGCTTATAATTAGTGAAACAAATTCAACTTCCTACGACGTGCCTCGCGCGTGTTTTGCACCCATTTTCGAACCCGTTGTTCAATGCCGACTGTGAAAGGGTAATCACATCTCATAAACAAATACATCGTTTTCCCTCAAATTATAGTAACAAGTACTCAGTTATATTACTTCATTTTTACGTACGTGTACATATTTTATACCTCCCGCAAAATTTGAGTGACAAGTGTTCCAAATCGTACATATACAATGCATTTTGTAAATGAAGAAGATAACAAGCAGATTTTGAGCCAGTCAAGTACATTCTTGAAACTAGCTCAAATACACACAGGCTTCGCAAGATTGCAACATAACCATCACACGATTATACAATTGTAACTAGGAACTGCAAACAAACATTCTGAAAAACACAATTAAAATTCCATAAACACACTATACGGATTATAAATACAGCTATTTTTTTTTTTCAGTAACAAAAATAATCATAATATAAGAGAAGCTTTCACTGACACAGGCACACACACAGCAGGATTAATAACATTGATCATAAAGAAGTATAATCTGATTTCAAGAAAAAGGATGCTAAAGACTGTCTAAAAGATGTGGGATCCAAAACTGAATCTTGTAGAGGAAAAGTGGGTCCAAAGATTCTTCATTCATTCATTTGAGAGAGAGAGAGAGAGAGAGAGAGAGAGAGTGGTATCTTTCAAAATCTCAAATGCATCTTGATATATGTTAATATAAAATTTGAATCTTCAAAGGGGCGTGTCAAGAAAATATGTAGCTGGCAGGAATGTTTGCAATATTACAATATCTCAAGGGAATCTTTGAGATTGTCAAAAATAATTTGTTCTTTCTGTTTTTTTAATCTTTTTCATTATCTACACCAAACCTCGATGTAATATTGTGGTTTTATTTAATTATGCAAACGTTAAAGGAGTATTTCTAGTATATCCAATTTCAAGATAAATATAAACCGACTGAACCAGAGGATTTCTAGTTTGGAAATACAGAAACCTTTGGATTTTAAAAACCATAAATCCAAAACAACCAATCATCGTGCTCTGCAAACCCCCAATAATACTGGAAAAAACTGGATTCGGAGATACCGTACCTGATTTACTCACCTTACCTCTGCCAAAATTGGTAAAAGCATTTCCTATCTGAAAGAAAATCACACAATGAAAAAAGTTACATCAGAGAAGAATATAAAAAACGGTTTAAAAGAACATGTGGGATTTGGTAATGGAAGAGATACGTAATGGAATTACATGCAAAAATCATAAACCATACAAAGAAATGAAAATTCACACACAATAATTTATAAGTAACATAATGGAACCCACTTGACAATCCCAAGGATATCCTACTTGTCTCTATCGTGGAATGGGTTGGCTGACTGAATAGAGTTTCCACGACATTGGTCCAAAGATTCTATCATAGAAAACAGCATTAGTTACAGTTAAACCTGCATTGCAGTCTAATCATATCTAGAAAATATTCTCACAATCACCCCCACCATCCTCTCTCAACTTCGATCATCTCAAAGCAAGAATACACAAAAATGTTGACCTGGAGCACTTCAACGTGCACATCAAATCTGAAACCTTCTCAACTTGTCTTCCCTTGAAAACTACATATAATACACCAAGAAGGTTTCTTTTCCACAGATTAATAGTTGAATTAATCTATCCACAAGATATCTATGAAAAATAGCAAACGCAAGCCACAATCCGCTTAGAGCCGACATTTAACAAAACTTTACACCACCACTGAAGAACGCTTGTACAAGCTGAATGCTAACTGCTAATAACTCAAACGGCCAGTTCAACCCGAACAACTGATCCAAGTGGTAAAATTAAGTCCATAACATACAATATTGTAGAATTCCATTTCTTAAGCAGCAGTCATGCAGAAACCTAGCTCAATCCATTCCCTTAAATGCAAATCCAACCTATGAACAAAAGAATATTTATCTCTCCAGAGAGAAGATCCTTTGAGAATATCAACAGCCAAAAATTTGACCTCATAGCTGTTTCATCCAACCAAAAGATTTGGTTAAGGTTCTGGCCAATCACAATAATAAAGACCCCCAACTATTTAAGGTGATCACAACCATGAGTGGGTCATAAAACATTGCAGCAATTTCCTTTTAATCACTGATCGAAGAAAAGACTCAGTTCGGAGGCTCTTTTTACCATTAGATGTTCGCCTTGAGAGGAAGAGGTGTGGAGTCCTGAGAGCTTTGAAGTTAATTAGCCTAATTCCCAACACTTTCTGCTATAGATTGACAAACTGCAGTAGAAGTCAACACGAGCACTTTTGGTATTAACTATATACATAAACCTTGTCGAGTATAGTTTCCAAGAAAAGACATGTAGCGAAGTTAGAGCCTATGTCAGTTGAAACTATAACATAAGACCTATATTTCCAGAAACTGCCACTCCATAGTGCAATCTCCATATTTTTGTTCAACTGGAAACATTTACTGCTACAGGAACAGGAAAGCAAATACTTCTGCTATGTAAGATTCCTGAGGTAAGAAAGTGTTCTCCTTAATATAACTCTTCCCTCCTGAAATGTCTCAAATTCCAAAATCTCACTATACCAAGAGCAAACTAAAATTTCATAAGAACAACCATCGACTCATTCAATTTCCAAATTGCTCATCTCCTCTAATCCACAGTTGCTGATCTTCTACTTCCATACAGAAATGAGGGAAGCTATCACAATAAGTAGTATGATGTGGTTATACACCAAATCAGATATTCGCTACCTTATCAACTTCTGCATCACAATCAACAGGAAAACAATCTAAAAGAAAAGGCTAAATTTGATTCAACGAAATAACCCAACATGGACAAGGCGGTTTCAGAACATGTAAGTGTATGCATAAGTGATGGAGGATAGCGGACAACTAAAAGCACCTCAACACAAAACAGACATGTAAATTGCAAGCCAGGATAGAGTACCTAAAAAACCGGAGGAGAGTACTTGCCTATGAAGTGAACTTGGCGTTCGTCACAGAGTGGCCCACCATTCTTCTTTCTGTCGTTCAGGATCAGGCCAATGCTTAGAAGACCTTGGAACCGGACACATGATGCTACTATTATATAACACACAAAAAATATCCCACGCAGAGGTATAATAAAACCTTGGATGGGTTTTATGATGTGACTGAAAGATATCCACATATGAACAGGGAATTAAGTTGGAGATTTGGGTCAGAGGCCTATTGGCCCATATTGAATTCAACGCTTGCCATTGTAAGACGGTCTGAAGGATATGCAAATCTCAGGGTGAGGCCGTGAGCCTCGGTAGCTTATGGTAGCAAGTTTGTATATTCCTAAAAGTATAGTACATTAGTACTAAGATACTACATGCCAATTTCCATTTCCCAATTTCTCAAATGCTCCCCCAGAAATAGAAGATTCCTAGAAAATCAATCTACATCATGCCATCCCCAAATTACTAATGAAAAATAGCCTGGAAGTTCAAGGGCAAAATATTCATCTTGACCAAAAACAAATACAACTTTCAGAGTTTTCAAATCCGGCAGCATAACAACTACACGATGATATAGTAACCATAGGCACCTTCATAACTTCTCAAAGGGATGCACCTCCCCAACACACATACCTCAACCATTCCACAGCAGAAGATAAGAAATAAACTCTTAGTCAGAACTCAACTACAATCGAATTGAAGAACAGAAAGGCAACCAATCTTCCAGCTAATCTCCAATTTTTAATCTATGACATCGAAGAATGTGAAAGAACAACTAAATGTTCACAATAGTTCAAAAGATCAGAAATACTATGGTAGCAGACCTCAAAGATGGTTAGAAAGTAGGAAAGATCTTTTTATCTAAAGAGCCCCTAACTTAAATAATACAAGAATAAGAAAATAGTCTTGGAAACAATAATAGAAGTTCGCTCTCACTGTCATCCATACAAAACCGAGTATTATGTCACAACTGTCAAGGTCTTCACCAGCATCTGGAGGTACATCCTATCTGAAGAACCTCTCCCATGTCAATGAATTTATCCATTTAGCTCTCATCACATAATTCGTAAATATAACATTTCATACAAATCACGATCATCTGGAGACTGATGCCTACATCTTCGAAAAACCACCTCCAAAACTAATTCCAGATTTTGGTGATGTTGACCAAAAAGCTGACATTTTCACAGTCCACCAAGCAATGGCACAGAAATCTTTAATCACAACCCCTTGCACTTGAACTACTTCATTTGACAACAGAAGTCATCATGCAACTCCATCAATGAAATCTAATCATACTAACTGATCTAAAATGTAACCAACCAGCTCCAGCAATGATCTTATTAAGAAATGGTCAAAAACCAAAACAAATTGATCCAAACAGCAGCATATGGATGGTACTATAATGTACATAGCGTGAACAACACAAAATGTGCTAATAAGTCATGATTATAGCTGAAGAAAGAGTGAAAGACAAATGATACCATAGTTTAAGACTGATACCTTATAATATCAAAGATGACAAGAAAAATAAGCAGTAATCTGTAGGGTGTAATACGCAAATAATCACTGCCTTCCTCTTCACCCTACTGGGCAACAGACAAACAAGACGCACAATGTGTGCCCTATAAGGTCTAGTGCATAATCCACCCACATCTCAACGGCGACCCCTCTGTGCTTTTTCATGTCCTCCCCATGAAGTAGAACTAGAACCATATATAGAACGTTTCTCTAGAGCACCCTGAGAATAAAGTAAAAAGTTGACATAATAACAGTGCATGGAGTTAGGCCTTTGTGATGTATTGCAAATAATTGAAGTATCTGATCAGCATATCCAAACCTCGTGAGTCCCATATCCATCATAAGGGCCAGGGTAAGTTGCATCCTGATTGCTGAACTTCAAACCATACGCTCCACCTGGCAGTTACAGTTAAATAGTAGAGTCAAAATAACAATGAAACCATCATAATGCCCAACAAAATCCATCTCATGGTGAATATTACGTTTTGCACAAGTGCTATAATATAAATGTAGAGCTTGCACTATATTTCAATTCCTAAGCATAATATCAATGTCAGTGAACACAAAAAAAGCTGCACGTAATTTCTAAAAGCCAAAGGTCCAACAGGATGATCTGTTTCTCAGTATCTGGAAGTCTGGAATGGCCCACAATCAACAGAGAACAAGATATTAATGAATAGCAGAATTTTGAACTTCCAAAGATTTCGTACACAAGTGAACAAAGAATGCTTAAAAGATCATGGAACAAGAAAGTACTGACCTGCACTCACTGGTCTAGCACCAGAGTTTGCAAGCTCAGAATGAAGCTTTTCAATTTCACGAGCCATGCTGACCAAGTTCTTCTCCATCGACTGTCTCTGAACCATCAGCTCAACATTTGCCTTCTTTTCATAGTCAATGGCACTTCTGTAATTCGGAAAAGCAGCTTATGCAGCCATCTTATCGTAGCCATGCACAAATTACTAAGCTCGACTATTCAGATAGCACAAAATTTATACCAAAAAAGGGCAAGAAAACAGACCTAGCTCGCAACAGTTCCTGATGCAGCCCATCAATCTCAGACCTCAGGATAGGAATCTGCTGGTTATCAGACCTCAGCTTCGCAAGTTCTTTAGAGAGGGTCTGAAATTGACCCAATAGATCCTGCCTCATCGTACTCAATCTGTGGATCTCGGTTCTAAGTTTTGTAGCCTCATTTTTCAGAGGCTCTGTCGCACGAAGGTCAGCCTCCAATTTCCGGCCCGTTTCCACAAGTTCCCTAGACTGGAGCTCTTGTTCGGCACGCATATCACCAATGGCAATATTCATGCGGCGCAACTCTTCCTTTGCGGCAGCTAAATCTCGTTCGAAGGTAATTCGGTCTTCAACCAGCCTCCGGTTTTCACCCAAAAGTCTGCGGAGTTCAGCGTGTCGGATTTGAAGCTCTTCCTCTAATAGTGCGGGATGTGGACGCATTGGCCGAGCCACATGACCTCGAGAGACAGGTTGCTCCAGTCGGTACGCATATCGGTGATCAATGGGCTGGTGAGGAACTCGATTTCTTCGTGACATCTCACCTGACATTGGAAAGAGAGGATTTGCAGGTGTATTAGGCTGGGAAAGTGTGAACTATAAAAATAAAATTTCATGCAGCAAGTAATTGACTTAATTCAGCAGCAATGTAAATATGGCTCTTTAAGAAATCAGATGGTTGGATGGCTATTTACGTCGATTTAAAGAAATTCAAATTCATTCAGAAAATGGTTATAATATTTTTTTTCCAATTTTAACACTGCTGGAAATCACCAAATAACTCGGTATGCATAGGCCTTCGAACGGAAAAAAAGTAATAACTCCAGCTCAAAAAATCGTTTTTTTGGTAATAGATACAGAAAATCATTACACATCTGAATTGGAAAGTTAATACATCATACACATGCAAATCATAAGTATCACGAGTATAAATCCAAGGAATGTGATAATCAAGCTTCGTCGAATTACTTTTAAAAACTACTGAACCACAAAAAATAATTACAAAGCTCAGCTACACCTTTAATCCCAACCACCGGGCAACAACAATCAAAACTATTTTGAACTCTAGATCACAACATAAATTAGCAAAACAAAACAAACACAACGAAATCAAACGGGATAGCCGAATCACAATCCCAATACAAAATCGCGAAGTCATACAGGGAAATTATAACTTCAGAAAACAATTCTATGAAGCACTCTTATCACTCCACATCTCCACGAAATTTTCCCTGTGAAGTACTCTTTCACTCCACATCTACACGAAATTCGTCCTGTCCGTGAATATAATAGTTGAACTGAATTTCGTACCTTTGCCGCGAGAACGAAGAGGATTAGGGAATTGGCTGAAAGATAGAGAATGATGAGCGCTGAGATATAGGCAATTAGGGCTTGTCTGAAATTATAAAGCAGAGGCATGGGCAGAAACGACGCCGTAATATTGGTGAAGAGAGGGAGGGAAATTTATATATAAAAAACAAAAAAAAAACACAAGTGGACACAAATAAAAGCAAAAAAAAAAATCTGGACCAAAATAAAAAACACGTATTCTGAGAATACGTTTTCTTTATACTGTTATGAATAAATCGGAGGTTCCCTGTGCGACTTTTCGTGTAACATCTAATGAACACGATTTTATCGGAACTAAAACCCAGAAAAACGTCCCTTCTCATCTACCGAAAAACCACAAAAGAAGAGTGCGCGGAAAACAAAAATAAAAAATAAAAAATCCCGCGGAACATCAACGGCGATGGCGCTTTCGATGCTCTCCCTCTCGTCCGCCATAAGAGCTTCCTCGGTGCCCCTGGACGTCGAGCACCGTCTTCCGTACAATTCCCGCCGCACTCGTCCCAAGAAACCAGACGCGTTGACGGCGGCACCACCGACCAATCTAACCACCACACTCGACAAGCGTTCCCCGAAGATATCCGTTTCGGACCTCCTTAAACGCGACATCTCAAAAAGTGCTCAAGGTACTCGCCGGCTTGTAAAAACTAAGCCAATTGCCCATGCTAAAGCAAGTGGCGTTTGCATTATGTTGTGTTGCTCCAATTGGTTGGTGTTATGTTTAGATTGGCTCGTTTATCGGGTGATTTTGTCTGAGCTTCTGCAGCGTAGTAGGAATGTGATTTGTTATATCTCCTTAATGATTCTGTATTGTTTGATATGAATGTGTGTGGTGACTTGTTTGATTTGTGTGCCGATTGCTGTAGTTGGTGTATGTGTCAGTAAAAGTGAGTTTATCCATATATGTGTTTACTACCAGGCACAACTCATTTGATTTGATATGCGTATTTTATGCTGGGAGTTTTTGGGTAGGTGTTGGTGCTGACCATTTTAACTTTACCGGTGTTGGTGTAGAGGAATTAGGTGGCTCGTATTTGGGATATGAAACATGGCTGCCCACTCCACCGAAAGTTGAGAAGCCTCGGTCTGTGTTGAACCCTGCATCACTGGCTTACATCGGGGACTGCATTTATGAGGTGTGCACTTTATCGTCAGGTGTTTGATGTGTTTTGTAGTTTTCAGTGAAAAAAAAAATAAGTCGAGTTGGTGTATTGGAAGAGTCATTGTTGACAATTCTCTTGGCATAGTGCTAATAATAGACTAGATCAAAATGGCTCAATTAAATTCTAGTGCTTCTAGTAAAGTTTCTAGAAAAAAAAATATATCAAACGGCGCAATGCACCTTGGGTCGCTACGGAAACAGCCTCCTTGTATAATTACAAGGGTAAGGTCTGCGTACAACTGACCCCCCAGACCCCAACCTGTTGGGAATATACTGGGTATGTTGTTGTTGTTGTTGTTGTTGGTGTATTGGAAGCATTGTGCGAATTTTCGGATTAATTCATTTCAGCGTAGTAACAATTTATTCTGAAGTTGTGCAGATAATGCTTTGAGAATGTTGTGAGATTGTTGAGGTGTTTGTTATGTTAACACTTAATAGAGTGAGGTCTTCAAACGTGCCGTTCTTTGTAGGCACAAATAGTGGTTGAGGTAGTTCTTTGCAGATGAAGCCTATGATGAGCTTAAATAAATGCATTGTACTGGACTAATGATTCAATTGAAACGTATGTTATACATATCTGTATAGTAACATAGGTAGCTGAAAGATTCACACAAAGTCAGATTAGAAATAGTTTGAGTTGATATACAACGTCAAGGTAGACAACCATGATAAAGTATGATTTAGTTGGAAATATTGATAGACGTGCTTGTATTAACAAAACAATTTTGACAGGTGAACACTTGCTAGATAATGCAAATGAAAATCGCTCCGATTGTCTCGAATTTCGTGTTTCTATGCAAGGTTGTTGGAATACTAATCGTATACCCAATGACATATACACTTTGGGAAGCTTATTCTAATGATTCTCTTTATGTTTGCCTTGTCAATTGTGCCCAGTTATATGCTCGCAGGCATTTCTTGTTTCCTCCCTTAAATATTGAAGAATACAACGACCGTGTGATGGCTGTTGTACGTTGTGAAGCACAGGTACTAATTTGAAGTTTCATTTACATTACAAATGATAGTCATGATTAGGGCTGCAAACGAGCTGAGCTGAGTCGAGCATTGGCCTTATCGAGCAGGATTGATTATTTTTTTTTAAGCTGCTCGAGCTCGTCGAGTCGATTTTTTTATGCTCGAGCTCGACTCGACAAACAAATACAATAGCTCGAGCTCGGCTCGAGCTCGACTTGATTTCATAATGCTTGAGCTCGGCTCGAGTCCGGTTCGAAAATTTTCAAGTAAATTTGTAAAATTACCATTAAGTACATATATTAATATTAAGATACATATATATAAGGGGTATTTTTGTAATTTAACATAATCTCGAGCCGCTCGACAAGGTAAAATTTGAGCTCGAGCTCGACTCGAGTTCGGTCAAACTCGAGCTCGAGCCGAGCTTTGACTCGAGCGCTCGCGAGCGGCTCGCGAGCTGCTCGGTTCGTGTGCAGCCCTAGTCATGATACTTGGCTAACCTAGGTTGTTAATAAACAAGGCTTGGAATCATGATAATCTTCTCTGAAAGTCGCACACTTATAATAGCCTTGTTAAGTCTCGAATACCCTATTGCTATTTTGCTCAACGTGTTAATTCTCATCTTGTTTACAGTATCAATATAATGTTGTGCACATGATATCTTTAAAGTAGACACTATCCTTAATAGTTTTTGTGCGTTATGTGAGTTTGCATTAATGTATTTGGCTATATTATATGTGGTACTGTTTTCCTTTTCATTTTTCTCCTATCATTTATGAATATTGCTCGTTATCAAGACTCCTAGACACCAGTGAGAAGGGTAGAAATATTAGATTTAAGAATGCAAATTAAAAGGGGGAGGGGTATACCTGAGAAAACTTGGAAGGAGACATTCAGAAATGATTTAAAATATTTAAATTTGAATGAGGATATGTGCTTGATCTAGCATGATGGCGACATATGATCCATATAGCCGACCCCACTTAGTGGGATTTTAACAGCTTGTTGATTGATTGATAGATATCAAGAACTTATTGTATCTTTTTTTAATTCTCAGTTCTTAATTTACTTATATAAATAGATATTTTTATGGGCGGTGTTGTGGGATTGCTTGTTCGTTTGTGTCGGGATTCTGAATACCGGGTTTATGAAAAATGATGAATATGTCTGCCATGTTTCAGGATGCAATATTGCAGAAACTTAGGAGTGACAGCTTCTTATCACAAGAAGAGAGGTTTGTATTGGANCTCAGACATATGTAGTTATCTATACAATGACGGTGTTATATGAAAAGGAAAATGGTTTATAATACACCTTTTTCCATAGTATTTATGCCAAGTTAATTATATAAGCAAAATCCATTATATGCAGACCACGATTTCTGTTTATTTTCTGTATAATTTACTTTTAGTGTCCTAGCATTTACTACAGTCCGTGTTTATGATTTTTTTTTTAATGATCATGTTGTATAGTGGTAAGAGGCTTCTTCTGAACTTTTACGAGGTGTGTAACTTTCTCCTTTCTGCCTCTGGCTTTTATGCCTCTTCCCTTTTTGGTAGAACATACGGCTTCAGTTTGTCTTCATGGTGTTTTGAGTTCTTGATCTAAAAGAAAGAATTCTTATAAAACAGAGATGTGCTCCGTTGGGGGAAGAATATTAATTCCTCAAAAACACGTACAAAGAAGCGTGCAGGTGTTGCGGTCTACAACAGAGCATCTTCACTGGAGACACTAGTAAGTTTCTGTTGCCCACTAATGTTGAACTACTAAAGGATAATTACCATGTACAAGAGTAATGGCATATCAATTGCTTTCATTTTCTTTTGAGATTTTTAATCATGCAGGATCTTTCTTTAAAAAATTTATTCTGCTGTATGCTAAGTTGATATACTGATTCTGTGCATTGAGTTAAAGGATTTTTGCCTACATTATCATTTTCCTGATTGACATTTTAAGGGTGGGCTCCATGATAATGACATAATTCTTTTTTCTTCTTTTCATGCCACTTTCGAGAACATTGCAATTTGCTTTATGATTGCTTTCATTTTCTTCTGAGATTTTTAATCATGCAGGATCTTTCTTTAAAGAATTTATTCTGCTGTATGCTAAGTTGATATACTGATTCTGTGCATTGAGTTAAAGGGTTTTTGCCTACATTATCATTTTCCTGATAGACATTTTAAGGGTGGGCTCCATGATAGTGACATAATTCTCTTATCTTCTTTTCATGCCACTTTCGAGAACATTGCAATTTGCTTTATGATTTTAACTAAACTTGAACACTTGAAGGCGAAGCATGTGTGCATTTGACCTGAATACGACATTTGATATTTCCTTCTCAGAGGGTCATATAATCTATTACTATCTGCTAATGCTGACAAAGACGCTAAATAATTCACTATGTAGTGCATTTTAAGGCGAATAATTGCTAACCATTTTCTTTTGAGGTGCTGGTGAGAATAAAGAAAAGGCGTTGTATACTCAGCACTTGCGTTAAAAAACCTGGAATCGATCGTATTAAGCGGACTTTGGCTTTGGAATATGCTGTAGCTCTTATGTGAGATATAAAAGTTGCTTCAAAATCAAAACCTGGAGAAGCAATTATTTAATAGTCTTTCAAACTTCCAGTACTGTAGCATAATCTGTTTGTTGACCTGCTACGATTCATGTAAATTGTAAAGTAGTGAAAGTAAACCAAATTACACCATCTTGTTTGATTCTTGTCCTTTGCATTTAATTTTCTAGCTTCCCACAAGTATCTTAATCAATCTAAAATGGATTGAACTTATGGTGTTTGGTTACTTAAGATGCTCCTAAATTTTCAGAGATGCCCATTTATTCTAAAGAGTAACATGGTTTATAACAATCTGTGTAGGTTGGTTATTTGTACCTTACAAATGTTCAGCGGCTGGAGGAGATCATGGAAAAAATCGGCTTTTCTACAGATACTTCTAAACCCCCTGAAGAAGAGAGATAAAATGGGGCTTTTAATTGTGAACTTGGCCCAAGACTAGACTCAGCTGAGAAAGGAACTTTACTGAGATAAGGCGTGAAATATATTTCCGTTTTCACCTCTAACCATCAGTTTCGTGTTGTGCTTTGAAATTTTTGGTTTACTAGATATTTCCTTTTCCCTCCAAATTTTCTGAAAGCTACACTACTTTTACTCAGTCCTGACTTTTTTCTTTCACCAATCATATCTACCAAAAAAAATTTCGGAGCAAATTACTATTTCACATTTTCTTACACGTTTCTTGACGATCAATAATACATGCTGGGGAAATATCATATCAATTCTCGTTAATCCTCCATTCCTCCTTTAGTGTCCGACCACCTGATTAAAATTTCACATTTTTATCTCCAAGATTTCTTTCCTATTCTTTAACCGAACAAGAAGCATCCAGATGAATCCATTTTCCGATTGAAATCTTAATTCCTATGTAACAAGTTGTTAATACGACTTTTTACGAATGACTGCTTGCAGGCGCAAAACCTTGATCAATTGATTTCTCCATTTCTAACGTGTCAAATTCAACTTCAGAAGGGTCTGTTCTGTCGAAGGGAGTTTCTATCAAGTTCTCAAATTTCAGGTTTCTCATTGTAATCACTACAATTCTTCCCTCGCCCATAATTATTCTTATTGTTAGTTAAAAATGTACTTTGATTGTGACTCAAAAGCTGTATGTGTTTAAATGTTGGCCTAGTGATGGAGATTGGACTGTGGGAGTTCCCTTTTTTTTTCAGGAAACTGAAAAAATATACTAATATATTTTGTATTGACAATATTTATATGATATCCACATATATATAACTTTTAACAGATTGTCTGGTGAGAGGCTTGTGCATTCTGGGTTCTTCATCTAAAACGACAAGCGTACAAATCCCATTGAGAAAGTTGGGTCACTATTTTTTGGATATGTTGGGAGTTTGAGAGTTTTTCAGTATGTAGCAAATTTATCCATTGAGGATCTAATTAATCATGACCATCAACATTTTTGTTGACACGAAATATATCAGCAGAATAAGAATTGTATATATTTGGCAATTTAAGAAGTACCAATGTAGTAAACATCATTTTCATTATGTGAATGAATTGTTTTTTTCTTTTTGATTAATTGTTGAATGCAGTTGTAAATTTTGTATATTTGTTTTGTGCGGGGAAGTGCGTGTGTAACATGATCTAAGTCCAGCATTTATTTATTTATTTATTTATTGCAACACTAAATTTGAAAATTGAAATTTGGAACGTTTTTTTCATTGTAAATATGGTTCAGCATATTGATGTGAACAAAATATTTAGCATGAGAAATAATGTAAAATTAGAAAGAAGCCTATCCAGAAGTGGGTAGGATGATAAGATCAAGCACGTCTTCATCATCATACTGTTGTGATTAGTGAGTAGCTTATTAGACGTGATTCTATGAGAATTAACATCTACTGTAAAGTGCGGGACTTGCATGTGTGTCATACTAATCCTCAATTTGAATGTAACTTAACTACAAGGAATTGAAAATGACAAACTTTTGGGAATCTTTCATTTATTTTTTGTTTAACTGATTGTATTCCAATAAAAGAAGAATGTGATACTTGTTGATAACAAAATCTTGCTCGATGGCTTTGAAGCTAAGTCACTTTATGAAATGAAATGAGACGCTCCAAACTTGGCTCATAAAAGCTTGAGCTGACTGACAAACGAACTGAGCTCGAGATCAGTTAAAGGTCGTTTAGTTAATGAGTTGAGTTCGACTCGTAGCTCGAGATCAGTTAAAGGTCGTTTAGTTAATGAGTTGAGTTCGACTCGTTAGACTTGAGAACAAGGGAGAATGCATATACTAGCTGGGGGCTATAGTTCCCCAAACTTTTTTTAATTAGTACTATGTATGTATAATATATATATAAGATTATGTATATTTAAATACTTTGCCCCCTTAAAATATATATTAAAATAAATAAATTTCTCTTCCTTGAGGCTTGAGAGTTGCACTCTCTTTCTTTCTTTTGCTTTAATAAGTTATATAATATAATAAATTAAGCTAATTAAGTATTCTTTACACCATTCAATAAATAATTAATGTAAATATAATAAAAGATTATAAAAAACAAAAGTTGGGTTTCTGCACGCAACTGATAAGACGAGGAGTCGAGTGAAGAGACAGGCAAACGAAAAAAACACAGATTTGAGCATTCATCACCCGATCGGATAATTATATTTATAGGTATTTTTATTTACATTTGTATCTATGATATTATTTATTTATTCTTTACTTTCTTTTGAGATTTGAACAATATATATTTAGGGTTTAATCAAGTTGAATGTATGAAGAATCTAGATTTGATAATTCGGTCGGGAATATGTAATTTCGGGCATAGTTGATAGTTTGAACAACATTCGACTAGCTTGACATTAGAATCTCCATTTTTGCTCTTTAAACTTAGTAATCTAGCAATGATGCTGAAGGCATTTTATGTTCAACATCGTTTTTTTTCTTTTTTTTTTTTTTATNTAAATAAGAGAGTTCTCAAATATTTCTAATAGTAGCGAAGTTTGAAATGTATATATTTTTTTAGTAAAACTTTTGTTTTAATTCCAAAATTACAACTTTATGTCTTTGTTGTTAAATATATGTCTTTATCGAAAATTATTTAGTCCCCTCCAATTCATTTTTCTAGATCCGCCCCTGCTTGAGAATAAGGTTTTTACGTATTTTTTTAAACTCTTCGGTTAGCTCGGCTTGTTAAAACTTGTTTTTCTGCTCGATATTTTTGATACATGGGTCGAGCTCGAGTATCTAACGCTTGAGCGTGACTCGACTCAGCTCGGCTCAACTACAACTTTAGTCACAACTATGTGTGTGCTGCTCTTGTATTAGGAAAGTATATATTCAAGTATAGATATGATCACTAAAAATCACACAATAAAATCTTTTTTCACTAAATCATGATCCCAAAAGAATATACACACATTATTACTTAGAAGTCCATAATCCTAAGGAAACACATTTGTATAAGATAGGGTTTGAATGATTGAAGGAAGGAAAATAAAACAAGAAGAGGTAATAATTTCAACCTCAAAAAACTTCAAAATGTAGCAAACAATTAAACACTCTTAAGAGTTAAGAGTTTGGAGGCTTGAGGAGGACATCCATTTAAGTGGCCAAACTAAAAGTGCAATTGGTTGTCCCCTTTTTTGTCCCAAACAAAACAGATGATCCTATCAGATAAAAGGTCTAGTTTTCTCCATACATAAGATCTCATTTTCTTTATTAATTATTTTGAGTTGTTATTAATAACATGGTACTATGTGGGGTTATTTTTGGTTGAGAGCTAGCTGGATAACTTGATCAAATTGGTTACAACTGTTATTGGTCCTACATAAAGTGTCAACCAACACAATAAATGAAATTACAAGAATAAGGGAAGTATTTTGGGGCTTTTATTTTGGATGTTTTTTTTTTCAAATTATATAATTTATTAATTCTTTGTGAACCGATTTAATTATAGGCAACTCGACCTGTCATACTTTATCAATAAACTTGTGATATGATATGTCATACTTTTGTTCGTGTTATTTTAAAAAGAATGATGTTTCCAAAAGTATGATGTTTCAATGCGTGTCTGCTGAAAAAAATATGCTTTTGTAATATGCGCAATATGTAAATAATTATTTTTATATTTAAAATTTGAAATAATTAGTTTTTAACGGCTAGTGCCCTTGAGATTGTTATTTTTATTGTTGTTTTTTCTCTGCATAAAACGGTACATGAAAGTAACATTTTTTTTTTATTTTTTTTNTAAAATAAGCCATCCACAATAAATGCATTAAATACTTGTTCATGTCATGCGCTTTTATGATTAATGCCAAGATGTAGAGAATGTGCTGGAAGGTGTTAAAATGTCACTGTTTGATTAAACATGCTATTTTGTTTTGCATAAAGACGGTTTTTAATATCTCTAAGAAAAATTGCTCCTTAATTATAACGTTTTTTTTTTCAAATATAAATACTCAATTTGGTTTGTGATTCGAATCCATATTGTTGATTAAAATGGAATGCAAATTCGAATAATAATATTATTTTATTTAAAATATATACGAAATATAGATATACACTCATTCTATTCAAACTTCAAATATTCAATTCGTTAATACAGTTATATAAACTTAATATATTACAAAGAATAAAAAAATCATCATATAATATATTTATGTGTTGATAATAGTTTTAAAAATGAATTTTGAATTGAATCAGTTATATTCGATTATTTTAGATATAACTACACCAATAGTATCATTAATCCGAATTGATCGATTGTGTATTTGTTTCTATTTGATTCATTTACAGTCCTACCTTAAACACACACATGCTAAAAAATGCAATTACAAAAGAGTTGACCATTTCAATTATAAAATGTAAATAAAATTAATAACCACAATTGATGATTATAATTTCTAATTGTTTTACCACATATATGCCAATTATATTGGCAGAGAAACTATGGCAAAAAGAAAAACAAGAATAATTAATTATGCTATATAATATACGGATATTCATGCACGTCATTTCAAACTAACTAAGAAATAACAAAAGTCAAAAAAATCATTTGTTTGGTAAATTGGAGTTAGGGGAAAAGATTGTTGACTCTTGAGTGTAATTATTAAAAAAAAAAACACACACACACACACAAATCATGATTTATTTTCTTCTAATTAAGAAATGGATTTTTATTTTTCACTTATACTTCCTCTAATTAAGAAATGGTTTTTAACTTTGGGTGTATATTAAAAATATAAAAAATTGATCTAGTATAAAAAATGTTATCCAATACAAATAAAAGTATACTTAATCCAGCTGATGTGACAGTAAGTAAAAAATATTTGATCTACAATTAAGTCTCTTTTATACATCAACAAAGTCCCTAGCTCTTTGTATTGAAAATATTTTGTATGGTTTTACTTTTCATTTAGTATTTTCTTCTTGATATTTAAGGCTTTAGTCTATTTACATACCACGTTAATGCTTTAATGTCGGTAAATTGGACTTATTAAAAGATATATAAGTGCAATGATGTAAAAAAGATTGTCCACTAATTAAGCTATCTCACATAAAATCTATATCACTTTATGATTTGTCAATTATAGTTCCCCCACCTTTTTTATGTTTATATTATTTTTTTAAGATCCAAATGTAGCATTTTTGAACCATGCATATTGTTCCACGCTTCAAATTTCACATTTTGTTGTAAAAACTGTTTAAGAAGGAAAATGAAATTGAAACTACTATAAGTGTCTAACTTCCATTCCATGTGTATAATGACAGCGACGTTTATACCAAATGGGCCCCCAAAAAATTTGCTCGAAGCCCAAGCCTGTTTCATTGTGTCACTGTTTAAATGGATCAATAGGCCCGTGTTAGATATAGACGCCACTCAAGAGCCTCAATCCTCTATACACATGATGAATCTCAGCCACATATGTTTAACTTTTTTGTTAATTAAAATCTAGGTGTGAAGAGTCTGAACTTCTATCCACAATTATTAATAAGACTCTCAAATTGGTAAAATATTTAGTAAACTTAAATTATAAACATATTTTAAAAGTTACATGACTTTTATATTTGTCATCCATTTTTGAGATAAAATATATCAAATTGATCGTCTCTTGAGTTTCGATTTGACATCATAATATATATATATATATATATATTAAATGAATAAATAAAGGTAATTATCTATATTATAAAAAATAAATTATTTATTAATATTAATTTAAAAATAAGAATAATACCTTTTTAAAATATAAATAATACTAACTAAATTATCATTTAAATATAAATAATAATATTTTTTATAAACAATGTTTAAACTTCCAATAAAAAAAAAACTTCACTAATTTATTTTTAAAACAAGTATAAGTTTTGTAACTAACACCTGTATATTATATTACCTTGATGTTGTACGAATATATATTATATTGAAGTATCATTTTACATTTTGTATTGAATTTGCATCTAATTTTCCTAATTTGTAATGTTTGTCACACTTTATTATGGTCCCACTCACTAAACCAACCGGTCATATGATTCACACCTTATGTGTCTGTGTTTCCTAATTTTATGAGTCTATTAGTAATT